TTTCGGTGGGGGGGGGGGGACTTCTGGTTGAGGGTGGTATCCCTAGGCATTTATAAAGCTCAGGGAATTTAAAGCAAAAAAATTGGGTCGGGAGGGAGGAAGGGTGATTGATTGCCACTAAACAAGGGTCGCGCTGACTTTAAAGTTTAGCACCATCTCAGGTGGCAAGAGAACCTACAAGTGCTTTTGCGAAGGTATCCTATCAACTTGAGACTATGAGATGCATTGCAACATCCACTACTTGGGGTGCCAGTCATAACGTGGAAAAAGTAAACCACTCATTTAACATGAGTCTATGTGAAGAAGATAATAGTGAACCAGAAGTGGGACGAAGAAAGATTCAGCTGTCTCTACGTTATGACTAACTAACCGCTAAATTATATTTCTGTCTTTGGTATCACCTTTTTCCCATGGGCCCAGTTACCACCTTACTTCTGTGTGCACATTCTGCATACTGTTTTCTATACATTTCCTAAGATGCCAACAAGAATAACTTTTTTTTTTAAATCAAGAGGTTGTTCGGTTGGTGATCTTTCAATTATTCACATGTGTGATTCAGGGGTGATATTGAGAGAGATTTCAATGCTTATCATATTTTAGAGGTCGAAAGGATTAACGGTTGTCGTAAGTCGCAAGTAATGTACGTATCGATTCTTATTTGTAGTAAACAATTTCAAAATTAGTCCATAGATGTTTAGGAGTTAAAAGTGTACTCGTCATTCCTTATTGGCAACTATTTTGTTAGCTTCCACATGAGTATTTCCGAAATTTCACGAGGTTTTCCGATAACCTTCCCCAGGAAATTATTAGGAGATAGTTAACCTCGTGTTTATGAATTTTTGTTTTTTGCTTTTTGTCCGAATACACCTGAGAAAAATATTACAGCTAAGACGGAAAGCAGAAAGAAAATAAAAACCCAATGAATCAATTCGAGGTAGAGAAGGGAATCCTGTTTCCTATTTTCTATCTCTTCATTTCATTGGGGAATTTTTACGGGCTGACAGCAATTTTAACATAAAATAAATAAATAAATAAATAAAAACGAAAATTGAAGCTCCTCCTTAGGGGCTTTGCAGTTTTAATGTAAACTAAGTGCTTAAAAATCCCCACTGGCAGGAGGCAGACCAGTGGGCTATTAACAGAGCGCAGCCGAGGAGTTGATCTAAGGGCAACCGAGAACAAATCTACTAAGTGGCAGGGTGGAGGTTTTCAACCCGGGACACCGGATTACAAGTCTAGCACCCTAACCACTCGGCCACGCCACCTCCTTAATTCTATTTTTCTATGAAGAAAATGTATTACAGGTTAAAGGGATTAGAAATAGATAAAAGATAAAGTCCAACTTCTAAATATAACCAGGCTTTCCGCGCGTGCTTTCCTCGATAAGGTTCTCGAAATATCCGAGAGTAGATTCAGTACCATCGGTAACCCTCTATGCTTCGCGGTTTTATCAAGAAAAGATAAAAAAAAAAAAACAGTTTCAGATCTGACTCTAACAATCTTCTACCAAACTTTCTCCTGATTGAAAAGAGGAGTGTAGTGAGAAACATTCCTCATGCGATTAAAACTCCTTAAATTCAACCGACAACTTAAAGGAAAAGCGCTCCTTACCTTTTATTTACCTCCGTAGTGTTTTTGTTTTACCAATACCCGGATTAAGACGTTGAGTTGAGGCAAACTTCGCCAGAGCGGAAGTTTGGATTACATCAGTCAAAGTGTATTGTTCAAAGGTAGTCAGTGAGTTAGGTATGATCTCATTGATTTTGGCTAAGTATTAGGTTTAGTTAAGATCTTAATTCAAAGTCCGAAGTTGTTTGGGTGATAGCTATGGCGATGAGATTCCTCGCTGTGACTCTCTTTTCTAACTTTCATTAGTGAACGTGCTCAGTTTGTCTACTGACCTTGCTTTCGACCCACACTGAAAGTCTTGTGTTGGTTTTGTCAGTCAGCGATTGTTCGCTTGATCAGAAGCATTAACGATGTTGTTTATTTGTCTCATACTTGTAAAGGTGTTTAGGCTATTGTTCTGACCACGAATGATTAATCTTTCAAGGTCAGTTAGCCAGCGTGCCAACCTAAAAGTATGCTTATCNAGTCAACGATTGTTCGCTTAATCGGAAGCATTAACGACGTTGTTTATTTGTCTCATACTTGTAAAGGTGTTTAGGCTATTGTTCTGACCACGAATGATTAATCTTTCAAGGTCAGTTAGCCAGCGTGCCAACCTAAAAGTATGCTTATCAATAGTGAATAAAAAAGCGTCTTCTATAGAATTCAAAGTCATAGTCGACCATATTTTCTCAGAGTGAGTAAGATTCAATTAAAGTATAACAAGGCAACAGTATAACAAGACAACATGATTCTTGTCCTAGGTGTTATCCTATTTCGTCTTTTCCGGTCAGGTAAAGATATTTCGGATCCAAAACTGCGATTCAGAGTTTCACAACAACAAAAAAAAAATAGTAACAGAGTTCTTATTTATTTCAGCCCCCAGCATACGTTCCTGTCACTCTATTCTGTCCCTATATGTATGGGAGAACTTTCAGTTAGGCACGATTGTCACTAGTTTTCAACAATACTCCACGAAGCTGTGTCAATTTGAAAATTCACTCCTCGTAAGTTGAGCCAATCTCCGTCACGAATTGCTTACGCCTGAAATTCCTATCCGGTAGAAACCTGTAATTTCTTGGACCGGGTTGGTACGTCACGCATGAAGTGCCTCACAAATCAAATATGCATTTTTTACCGTAGTATCATAAATATCAGAAGGAATGTATGATTAGGCTGCAAGAGATGGAGGTACATGTAGCAAAGGAGACGAAAGTCCTGCTGTGTTATTACGTGACTGTTTCATTATTTGACGCACTATTGATGCGTTTTTACCCCTGTAAATGTAAAATTGTATTAATTCGCGAAAAAAATATTTGAAGCATACATTTTGTTCAGCACTTAATGTAATGTCAAGCACTGTACATTTAAAGGATTAACTAATCGGGAATTTTCCGGAGAAGTTTTATGACTGTATTTGATACGAGCATGGTTTTCAACCAACATCGTCGATGACAGCTAAATTAAAACAAAAACGAACATAGAAGAAATAATGAATTTCAACAAGAGATCCAGGAAGTTACACTAAGATAAATTTGAAACTGATCAATACTTTCAGCTCATTTTGTATTTTTCCATCACGCATTTTTTGTAGTAGTGGAATAGAATATTCGCATGAAGACATTTAGTTTAAAATCGAACGAGATAATTACAAAACGGACGAGTACGGATATGTACGAAAGGGCACGTAAAAATCAATCACCTGTATTTCACACAAGTATAGAGTGTCGATTCCAAACAAGGCAATGTGATTAACTCACCGATTGAATGATGAGCTTACATTCGTATTTATATCTTCTTGATAAAATTTCCTTTTACCCTTTTTTTATGCGCCGCTAATTGTCTTGGTTAAACGGTATTTAGCTTTTACGTCGATAATCCAAAAATCCGGTTGGGATGTAAAGATCAGTCACGTTGTTGAATCTTATAACTAGAAAATGTTACGGAGTTGACGGAACTTTTAGGAAGATAGTCGTTGTTTATCCTCGGAAAGGTTTGCGATGGAAATGCTTGCTCAATCGGTTCGGAACTGAGGAGCTCGCGCCGACCTAGACGTGGAATATTTTTTAATCAAGGCCTTTTTCGGGAATAATTAGCTTTGGCTTAATTCGATTTATAGACTAGTTTCGAATAGCTTAGACAGAATTCCTTTGATAGATTGCCCATGGAAATGGTGGAATATTTTCGCTTACTCCTTCAGCGTAAGATGGGACGCGAATGTTACAACTATATGTAATCGCTTGATATATGTACAAAATCTGTATTTATTGCGTTTAAGTTATTAAAAATTATTCTTCTGACGACAAACTTAAATAACAAACTGATAAAGCTGTTGGAACGTTCGCTATAATTGACCCTTACTGTATGGTGTATTGAAATTAATATAATCTTCTCCTTCTCACAACATTTCAAATACAAGAAATCAGACCATTCCCTCCATTTTAGATCAAGATTTTTCCAACACTCATCCCATAAGCTCTTTGTCTGGAAATTTCTGTGTCAAGGAATACGCGTATCCCAAGGAAATTTCCATTCGGGAATGCGGCTCATTCGTCTTAACTATCGAAAAATCGGTTTTTCTGATGGAATGGCAAAACAAGCAGGAATATTTGCCTACTTATGAGGAATTGATCCACGTCATCATTTTTGGCTTTTGTTTTGTTTACAAGATCATGGTTCACGCCCAAGATTACACTGGCACAAATTTGATTACCTTATTGTGTTTTCATGAAAACTGTGCCAAAAACAAGTTTAAACAGTTTTTCCACGATCTTTAAGAACATGATAACGATTAATCGAATCAGTATTTTCATGTCCTTTGTCCTTTAATCATTTCCGGAGGACAGATATGAAACTTTCTATGATCAGCAGGCACGTAATTACTGAAAACGGCGAACAGGAAACATAATTAGTTTATTGTTTATGTTGTTGAACAACGTACACTTCAATGGGTGACGTTACATTGACCTCGGGAGTACTTTAGGAGATGGTTGTTTATGAAGATCAAATAAGCCAATTAAGTTTCTGAATTCTCAAGAGGTGAACAATAGAGGAAAAAAATCATTTATTTTTTCGAAAACTGCCAAAAATTTGGCTGATAAGCAGATATCTTTCAATGGTGATCATATCATTTCTTTGTCTTGGCTCATATTCACAAAGCTTTTAACGTTATTTTCAGTTATTTTGTATTTCTCAACGCAGACTCCTCTCCGAATCCCTAAAATATATAAAATAGCTGTGCGGCTTAAACCGTAAATTCCGTTATTATTTGGCATACTTTCTCATGCTAAGCTACGCATTTTTCGATAGTTACTCTTCATGGGTAATAAACCATTTAGAGAGGGGGATGTGACCAGTATGTGTATGTGCACGCCTTTACTAAGAAAAAATTACCACATATGACGTGGCAGCTTGTCATACTCTCCATATCTATTCCTCTTTCCGGGTGCCAACATCTTATTGCCTGTTGACTTCGCATTCTTAAAGGAAAAGCATAGGATAACACGCCTACATTAACGACATTGGAGAAGTACATGTCTTTTTTAAACAGAAGCGTTTCCCCTGGGCAACAATCGAACTCGCCTATGGCGTCTAATTATGAAACAGAACTTCAAGAAAGCCATCGCGCTGAAGCAGAAGAAAAGGTCACTCTCACCAAAAAGGAAACCACAGCGACAATAAACAGTCAAGAGCAACTGAATGGTGTCTCAAAAACGAATATGAGCAATGGTAGTAGTTTGTTGCAATCCGCTGAAGAGAAATGCGATGCCCGCCAAGGTCTGAGATTGTATCGCGTGGCTCTGCTGGCTACGTGTTTTATCTCAGCAGTTTCTCTTGGGCTCATCTTGCTGATGTTGTTTGGTGTACTTCACGTTGCTTCACCGCAATGTACTTGCTCGGGAGAAACAGGTATTTGCAGATATGTAAGATGGTTAATTCTAAATTTTAATTCATACCTTAAAATTGATCGCCCATTAAATACGCTTTAATTTTGGATCATTTTTTGCTGCGAAATTGAGTTTAAGCCTGGAGTAAACCATAAAATGTTAGCCTGGTTAGGTAGAAAAACATAAAAGCGGGAGAAAGTACAAAACCCGAAAACCTTTCAAGATCGAAGTTGAATAAGTATGGATAAGTCTGTAACGCACTGTAGATAATTAGCTTGCAAAATCAACGCCCAAATCGTGAAAAGACCTCTTTATCAAAGCTTTTTTTTTTTTTATTATCAGAGACCATCGAGTCATAGCTGTTGATAAAAGCGAACAGGAAAGGACAGATCTATAGACACTTTACTTGAGACCGCGTTCGTTCGTTTCTTTTGTAACAGTATGACAACACACTTCTATCTTTTGACGTGACTCAAGTAACCATGAACCTTGCACGTAGAAGTAGCATTGAACAACAGTCTTCAATATGTACTGCAGTCTTAGTTCAATACACATGTACGTTGAAATGCATGTTAGCACACCTCTCAAAAATTTTGAATACCTTGACTGACAGCGATATTCTTTTTATTTTCGAAAATCTGCCCCCCCTCCCCTCCCCCTCTTTCCCTCTTTCGCGGGCTTCAAATGTCTGCGATAAACAGGGTTTTTCAGTTTTATTTTGTTTGTTTATTTGTTTTTTTCATGGAGTTAGCATATAAGATAGTAACAAAAGTTTCACCAATTTGATTAAAGATCATCCTTCCTCCTATAGGTCGAGTCTTATGCCCCATCATAATCGCGAAACTGCATCCAACATTACCCGATCAGACCGAGGCATTTAATCCATCGCACACGGTTCTCTTTTTGTGCCTTATTAACTGGGTTTCTTAAAGACTGATTGACCCTTAGAACTTATTTACGCCCTGGGCTCATCAAAAACTTTCCTTTCGCGTTATTTTCTAAATGATAAATCGGCCGCGAAATTTCACCTTCGATACACAATTATTTAGAATCGAAAAGATATAAAAAAATGTTCAAACAGAGGGAAAGGGCATTAGTTTAGTAAGCAGTAAACGTTTTCCCTTAAAAATCCGAAAACAATGAAGGCCTTAAATTTTTCATGCTACGCCCTTAGCTTAGCTTATGGCAATAATATATAGATTTAGCCAAGCCTAAAAGCGGAGCTCTCAATAAGTGAAAATTTGGAATAAAATTTCTTTACGCATATTAAAAATGTTTAGCCCAAAATTCATCCAGTATAGATTAAGCCCATTGACACTTTAAAAGTGTAACACATACCTGTGAAAAGTCCAAATTTTAACCAAGAAAAACCAAGAAAGCAAACACAATCATTTTTTTCCAAAAAACAAGCTCCAGTGAGAGAAGACTAATTAAAGAACTTATTTCTGACGAAAAAAAGCGATAGGTGCATATTACGTTTTAACTCAAAAATCAAGATGAAAGATAAAAATTGCTAAATATTTTCGCATCTGTGCAAATGGGCATGTGGATCATATTTCAAAACGGAATATGCGAATTTGTCCGTAAATGAAGAGATCTCAAGTTCCATGGAATATATGAATAGCAAGCAAGACCAAAATGGCCAAGAAATATTTCGGGACGACAGATTTATTTAAAACAGTTTTTGATTTGCTGTTATAAGCGAAAAACGTGCGAATTTCTTACGTGTACAAAGCCCACGAGGTAAAATTCATCATGTTTAGATCGTTGTTTACTTGCCTTCAAGGCCAGAAATTGCGCATCGATGGGTTGAAAAGTCTGAAAAAACTTCGATTTGACGCAAAATCTTCTATCAGACAATACTTTTTTAACACATTGTTACTCGAACATAATATTTACCGGGCCATCGAATCGTCAAATTGTCGCTAGGCCCTGTTTGAAGTTCAAAAGTTCGGTTTTCACTTTATTTCCATAATTCGCATCGCCTTGAGAATCGTAGTGTCGTTGACTCGAGAGCTTATTCTGTTACCTTTAAGACCTAGATATCCATTCTTTTCCAAGCAGAGTATTCTATAGCTTTGTTACTTTACATTCTGAATTCCACAAGGTCTAACTCGATCGCAAATGAACGAAAAATCCGACCTGAAAATTTTGAGGGTCGGCCGCGCGGACGCCATATTTTCAAATTTGATCATATGGTACTTTCGTGATAGCATACATGACAGAGGGCACATACGTACGTACGTATGTACGTACGCTCGGTCAGTCACGTGACAACCAAACGGAAAGAGGTTGATCATATTCCATGGGTATGGGGCTCTGCCCCACGCGCGCTTTGCGCGCGTGAGAGACCCACTAAAATTACTTCTTCTCCAAAAAAATCACGTTTGGGAACATTCAATATTATTTTCTGCACCTTAATTGGTTAACCAGTCATCATATATATTAATTTTTGTATAATTCTGTTTCTTAAATCTTCATCCATGCATTTATGAATTCATTCATTTATCAACGATTCTCTTTTATCCATTCATTTAGAAACGTCAGGACTTGAGAAGAATCTTCAAGATCTGAAAAAGAACCTCTCGGCTTTGAGAGACTCTTCAGTAGGTCAAAATTCTTCATCATTAATTAGCGAAAAAAATTCAATGATGAAAGACATCTACTACAACTGAAAACTAAGAGAGACCTCGAATAGTGGGGAATGGAATCTTTTATAACCAATGCAACTCGTTGTGATAAAACAGTCTATGTTCTTCTAATAATAATAATAATAATAATAATAATAATTATTATTATTATTATTATTTAATACTTATATTGCGCAAATTAACATTTGAATATGATCAAATACGCATCACAACACTTTTCGGGGGACTTTGGCCGGACTGCATCAGCAGTTTACAAACAATCGAAGGAAACCTATTTGAAGATCCACCCTCCCCATAATTCCTAGTAAACAGGCCAGACCACATCACATTAATCTCGTGAGTGGGTCCTTTAACGTCCCCTGCCTAGCCAAATAAACTAATTAATAGCCTTAAATGCCTAACCAAATAAACTAATTAATTAAACCTACGGTTTATTCGTCCTTATCCGAGAAGACTAGAATGTCTATCCATTTCTTGATATTATAAAAAGGTAGCGCTTTCTCCGCGGTTATTTTAAGACCTTGAGTGTTGGTTCAGCCGGGGCTGGAACCATCGACCTCGACCTCCCGCACAACAGTCCAGCGCTCTAGCCAACTGAGCTAACCGGGAGGCGGTCTCATGCTACTTCAGTTTCAGATGGGTTCCTGGGCTCAAACATAAATAGCTCAACAATAAAGGGTGTGTAATGAATTTAATTTTAATCAATGACAGAAAAATCTTTCTACTCGTGTAAAAAATTATTGTCTGTTTTGGACTCTTGTATTGTTTATCGCTTTTCATTTCATCTCTTCCCGTCTTGATATTTTGAATCGAGGACCTTACATCCAAATTTGGTGCCATGAACACTTTTCTATTCGTTGCTGTAACAGGTTTCAAATTCAAAAAGGATTTTGGATTATTATGTTGTCAAGGTGAGTTTTTCAGTTAGTAGTTGATTATAGTCTTGAATTTCTGTTACTTTGAAGGAGGGGGGGGGAGCGGCAGCGATATCAGAGGGAATTATCTGTGTGTTTGGCTTTAGAATGACGACACAGTTAAAAGTCTATATTGCTCCTGTAACAGGTTTCAAACTCAAATAGGATTCTCCAGAATTATGTTGCCAAGGTGAGTTTTTTCATTCAGTGGTTGATAATAGTCTTGAATTTCTGTTAC